TGTGTGTGTGTGTGTGTGTGTGTGTGTGTATGTGTGTATATAAGCAAAGCCACACAGTTTTCCAGAGAGAATTGAATCAATTTGAGTCTTAAAAAACAGCCAGAATTCAATCACAAAGACTCAAACCAAACTGAGAGAGCAAGTTAGCTACAAAGTTCATTATGAGACAAGATACTATTTAGAACTTCCAAGTTCTTTCTTCTAGGATTACACACATACACACACACACACACACACACACACACACACACACACAAAATGGTCACATTTGTTGTACAATTGCATTCATTCTTAATCTCCATAAACATACTTTTAAGGAAAAACCGATCACTTGTGTTCCAATATCATTGTGGGATAGCACATGAAAGTTCTTTTCAGAGCACTGGAATAACATCTGCCTCCTCCCTTATGAAGTCTTTTCCAGTTTCCATTGGCCACTCTCAGTTCTACCTCTGCAAATTGATGAAATTTCCAAAGGCTTTAAGTGACAGGAAAAAATGATTCATAATCTAGGAAAAGATAAAGGTAAGTATAGAGACATACTAGAAGGTGTTCCTTAAATTAAAGCCTTGTCAGATTACATCCCAGAAAGCACCTAGATACTCCTGTCATTTACTGTATGATTCTCAGAAAGAACACACAGGAAAGAATTTCTTTCAGCTTATATGAACTTACCACATCCCCCTCCCCCCTCAGACCATCAATACCAATCACTCTGTCTCTTCCTCTCAAAAACAAAGTTGTTGGTATCTTAGCTCTTAAAATTCCTAAAGAAGGAGACAAGAAAAGCACACGTTCCCCCACTATAAGGAATGGGCTGTGCTTGTTCATCTCTACTTCTTTACTATGTCTGAGCACCTTCTGAACTACATACACTCAAAGCATGCATAAACATCTGTAAACCTAAGAGACTTGGATGCAGGATTTGCACCCATGCAGAAAAACCCAACACATGGGAAATCCAGAGAAGGAAAGTACTCTTGAGAGGAGGAAGAGGCCGTCTTAGACTCATTTCTTGCACTTTAATATTGCTGACCATCAGCTCTTGGAAGTCTTAAAGTCTATAGCTGCCATCTGGAATGAAGTGGTAGTGTTTCTAACTCACTAAGGATCAACACCCTTGTTTCTCTGTTTCCCAAGTTGCTGCAATAATATTGTTTCAGAGTCTGATAATCCATTTGGCTATAAAGTTAGATGAGTGGCAGGTAAGATGGCTCAGTGGGTAAAGGCACAAACTCAGCCTGATGAACTGAGTTTGATCCCTAGAACCTCTGTGGTGGAGGGGAGGATAACTGTGCTGGATAGCTTTGTCAACCTGACACACCTGGATAGAGGGAATCTCAATTAAAGAATTGCCTCCATTGGACTGGTCTGTGGCCATGTCTGTGGGGCAGGTGGTCTTGTGATGTATAAGAAAGCAGAATGAGCATAGGCCAGAGGCACAAGCCAGTAAGTAGTGTACCTCCATGCCTTGTCTTCCTTTGATGATGGACTGTACTGTAAGTCAGATAAACCCTTTCCCCTCCAAACTGGTATGGGTCAGAGTGGTTTATCATAGCAACTGAAATCAAACTAGATGGGCTGGAGAGATGGTTCAGCGATTGGGAGCACTGACTGCTCTTGTAGAGGACCTGGGTTCAAGTCCCAGCACCCACATGTAGCTAACAACCACCCATAGCTGCACTTCCAGGAGATCCGACTCCCTCTTCTGACCTCCACTGGCATTGCACGACATGGGTGCACTTACACACATGAAGGCAATACACATAAAATAATAAAAATGATGAAAAATAATAATAATAAAAAATAATAAAAAAAGGTTTTTAGAAAGAAAGCAAACTAGACCAGGAACCAAATCCTGCAGGTTATCCTTTGACTTCCACATGTGTGCCATGCCACACACACACACACACACACACACACACACAAAGTAAAGAAATGTAAAAGACTTTTACATCAGATGAATCAAGTGTCCCTCCACAGTTTCAGTTTCCCAAATATAATCCTGAAGAATAATACAGAGCACATAACTGAAACTGCATCAGCAGGCTCCCTCTGTTTCATTTCTGCCTTGGCTGCCCCATATTGGATATCAAAGAAACCAGATCTTCTATCTCTTTATCAAACTATCTCTTTACAGAGTCTCTCAATTTTGTTTAATGAAATAACACATCACACAGAATTCAGTCATGTTGAAATTCTGGTTCAAAAACCTTCTACAAGGAGCATGTCTTTCTATTAAGAAAGTTGAGTAGTAATAGACCCTAGTGAAAGCTTTTGTGTTTGATCATTAGGGTCAGAAGAGCTCAGTGTCACAGACCAACTCTGCATTCCTGAAGAACTTTTCTTTGTTTTATGCATTTTGTATGTCACCTTAGATATAATACAAGATCCTCGATCACTTTCAATAGCTATACAATCGGCAAACCTGGTAAAGATCTTCAGCCACCATCACTGTTGGACCTGCCCAGAGCAGTGAACCTTATTTAGATCAACTCTGTCAGCACACATCCTGAGGAGACAGTTCAATTGCTATCCACCTTGCCTTTGTGTGTGTGTGTGTGTGTGTGCACACGTGCACTGTGCATGTGGGGGAGGGGTGTTGCACATATGAGTGTGTGCGTGTGTGTGTGTGTGCGTGTGTATGCCAGAGGTCAACCTCAAGCACTGTTCTTTAGGAACCATCCATCTTGGTTTTTTGAGACAGGATCTCTCACTGGGACTGGGGCTCACTGACTGTGCTATCTTGGCTAACCAGCAAGCTCCAGTAATTGCCTATCTCCACCTTCCCAGCTCTGGGATTGCAAGTGTTATGTGTCTTCACGCAGCCTTTCACATGGGTGCTGGGGATCAAACTCAGGTCTTCATAATTGCATGGCAACCACTTTAGCAATTGAGCTATCTCCCCAGTCCCCTGCCTTGCCTTTGGACACGGGAATCCTACATTTTCTCAGTGCTCTAGACATCATGCCAAAATTCTGTGTGATACTTCTTTGCAAGTGCAGTACTGAGCCTCTAACTCCAGCTCTGTAGGAGACTTCATTACTGCCCTGCTGAATGCTCTTCCTGTTGGTGTGTCTGGACTAATTAAAGTTTTTTTCCAGGGTACACTAGTTTCATAAAGATCACTGAATACACAAACAGAACCCTCTGTGTGCCACACTCTGTAATCTTGGAATTTGTCCCAGTTTCTTCACAGTTAAGACAAGAATTCTCCTGCTGGGATCAAAATGGTCATAATAATAGTGGGTCTCTCAAGAGACTGAAAGATAAGATCTACTTCTAAAAGACCTAAAAGTCTTTTCTCTAAATAACTTGTAAGAAAACTGAGATCCAGTGCCTGCCACCAACCACAATGTAATAAACACTCTTGGGGCTACTAACAATCTGGTTTTACTCTCCACAGCTCAATAGCAGCTGAAAAAAAGAGCCCCTGTGATGAATGGAGTCAGGGCTACACTGATGCTTTAGTTACCTCCAGCTACAGAACAAATTATCCCCAAATATATTAGCTTACAACAATAAATATATTTTTATTTTTTAATTAAGTAATATTGTATGTAATGTTTGTAGATATGCTTATGCCTTGTTACATGTGTGGAGGTCAGAGGACAACTTGCAGGAGGGAATTGGTTCCCTCCTTCCATCACGTGGGCCCCTGGCATCAAACTCAGGTTGCCAGGCTACTCCCACCTTCCAATCCATCCCAATAAGCATCTCTCAGTGTGCAGTTTCTATGGGTCAAGAATCCAGGCAGCCTGGGCCTGAAGAGATGGCTCAGTGGTTAAGAGCTGCTCTTGCAGAGGACTGGAGTTTGAGTCTTAGAACCCACTTGGCAACAACCATCTGTACCTCCAGTTCTAGGGTATCCAACACCTTCTGGTCTCTGTGGGCACTGCAAGCATGGGTGCACTTACATATATGCAGGCAAAACACTCATACACATAAAAATAATTGCAGGTTGTAAGAGTCAGGGAGGATGTGCATGACCATATGGAAACAGAGTCCTACAAGATCCTGGGAACCTGCTCATATGATTCTATGGCATAGGTGTCAGCATACACAACTCCCATGCAAACACAGGCAGACAGTAACCCAGCATAGAACTGGGATAATGAACAGAAGACCCCAATCTTATCTGAAGGAATGTTGGGAACTGAGTACTGCTAGATGAAGAAGAGCTGATCTTCCTAAAACAAGGGACTCTAGATAGGCTGACCAGACTCAGCGGATGGACATGCACTGGGGAACAGCTGGGGGCACTGATAACACAGTGGGCAGTAATAGGGATGACAGAGTATACGGGCTCCAGTGGGGGGAGCACTATTGGAGGGTGCCAGTGAGGATGGAGGGTTAAAGGTAATTAAGATTGGGCCGGGCATCGTGGCGCACGCCTTTAATCCCAGCACTCGGGAGGCAGAGGCAGGTGGATCTCTGTGAGTTCAAGGCCAGCCTGGTCTACATAGTGAGTTCCAGGACAGCTGGGGCTACAGGGAGACCCTGTCTCAAAAAGACCAAAAAAAAAAAAAAGATAATTAAGATTGTTTGAGATGTTCTGTATGAAATACAAACAAAAAAATCAATAAAAAATAATTTAAAAATCTAAAATAATAATAATAATTGCAGAATCTTGTTGGGAGCCATGCTTGACATGAGCATAGGTAAAAAGAAGAGTGCCACTTTAAGAGCTTCTGAGCTCTCTGCTTCAGCGGTTTGAGCTTACAGGCTGTGCCTCCATGATAAATCAGGTCTTCTAGAAACTTACTTTCGGTTTGGTCTTCGGGCACCGGAGTTGGTGAGGTAATGCAGCAACCTGCTGCGTCCGTAGTTACTTTCTGTTAGTAAAATATCCATGGTGATTCACCCGAAATCTGCTTCCTATATAAGATCTGTGTTCCTCACAACAATAAGCCATTCTGTGATTGCTTACCTGACTGCTAAGAATTAAACTTTTTATAATAAAATCAAGACCTTTGTCTTGACTCTTCTTTTGTTGAAGACCCAAGCCTGGTGGGCTTGGGGGGCATTCGACAATTGGCGCTGAACGTGGGGCCCGAACACCCCCCAGCACCAGGCTTCCAAGACAGATCTTTTGAGGAGAAAGTTGTTTTTTGAGTAAGTATGATTTTGTTAGGTACGTATGTCCTTTTCCCTTCTTTCCTTCAGTATATTTTTTAAAGTTATAGGTTGCAAGTTTCAGAGTTTGGTTCATGGTTTCTTGGTATGAGATTTTTAGATTTTAAAGTAGGGGACAGAGTCAGGAAAAAAGTGAAAAAGGCATTTCAGACAGGAGAAGCAGTTTCACTTGACTTCTGGGCTACTTGGACATCTGTTAGAGCATTTGCTGACTGCTGTCCAAGGAGATTGTTTCCAAGCCAGCTTTTTCATACATCTAGAAATGCGATTAATCTTTATAAAATTTCTGAGGAGTTCAGGCGTGAAGTCTTAGCGCAAGTTTGCAGAGTTTTTTTATCCAAAGCTTCCTCCTCCTTACTCGGTCCCAGGCTCTCAGAGTTTGGTGAGAAGGAAGGCACAAATGGCTAACTTTAAATTCTTTCTCAGAAAATCAGACCTAGATGTGTTGCTGTTTGCCTTCTTGATGTAGAATAGGATGTAAATGTGAGAAGATGACTCTGGACAGAAACTGGTCCTTTCTGTTCAGACTCATGCCACTTCTCACAAGCCTTCTGTTCAAGAATTTTCCAGGTTCAGACTGACCCTCTGACCCTGTGAAAGGATCTGAGAGCAGCCTGCATGTTTTAGTGCCTTGGCATGCAGGATTTTCTCTGACTAAAAAGGCTCCCACCTCAGGGGTCAGTCTCCTTGGGTCCCTTAAAGGGTGACCCGGATCCAGATCAATCATGCTGGGCCCTGTGGAAGCAGCCTTGGAATTCAAATTCCGATGCAGATTAATCTGAGTTGGGAACAGTATGAGGGCTGTTCCGGATGCTGACCAGGGCCGTCCACAGCGATGCTTTGGGACCTACAATTGGTGTACCCCCGCATTGTCGATGCTGTGCTTTTGCAGATCTGCATCGGGTGCCATTCCCGACATGTTGTGCTTTTTAAATTTACTAATTTGACTTGTTGGTACCATTAAAAATTCTAATTTCCCTCGTTTTGAGCCTTGTAGGGCTCTGTTTGGAAAATGGCACTTAGGAAACTTTCCTTTGTCTTCTTATGCTGTGCTCCTTCCCGACAGCACAGGTCGGTGGCTCAGGTACAGGTGGCGGCATCCTGAGCACTCTGAATGAGTGGCTTGTGGCAGAAGTTACTTGTGGTGAGTTTTTTGGAGTACTTTAAATTTCTATCTTGGATCCATTAATTTTAAAAGACATCAATTAGCTTGTGCGCACTTTTTAATTAAAAAATTAGGCATCAGTTACAAATTTTCTTTGCTTTGCTTGTTCCATTTCAAGTGTCAAGTTTGTTTGTGTATCTATGGTTACCTGTTTTCACCTTGTTGTTCCATGGATTTGTTTTATGTTACCTTGACAACCTATTGTGTGTATTTACATTGCCCTTGACTATACTTGTTTCTAGTTTCCACCTGGCACTACTGCTCAATATTATTGTAGTTCTGGTTGCCTGCATTTCCCCTAGGCCTTTTTTGGATGGTGCGTAGCTGCTTGAAGCTGCAGCCCAGCGTGATGCAGTTGCATACCGCCAGAGAGGTTTGGGGTGGGGTGCCAGGTAGGTCTATGATGGAGCCTGTGCCAGGCTTTCTAATAGCAGGTTGGTAGATTTCATTTTACATAAGTTTTCCTAACATTTCTTTTTAAGATGTTTTACTATCCTACTGAACAGTAACAAACCTTTAATTGTGTTCCTATTTGCACTTTTATACAACTTTCTCTTTTTGCTGTGTTTCTAAATCTTGAGAGTTCATGTTAAGATTCTTTTCTGTTCTTGTTTGCACAAGTTGATACATTCTATAATTTTGACAGAATCTGAATATCTAGGTGAGGTTGTCTGGGGTTTTTTGGCGGGTAGTCTTTGGGATCAGGGCTTAGTTGCTTGAAGCTGTGTCCCAGCATGATGCGCCTGTGCCCTGTCTGAGGCTATTGTACCATGGACTCGGCAGTCTTCTGGAACAGGGGAGAGTCCTATCTCTCTCTTGTTTGTTGATTGTTACCTTGGACACCTGCTTGGTATACCTCTTTTGCTTACAGGCCAGTCTGTCTTCAGACCTTGGAGGGCACACTTCAACGAGGAGACACCTCTGCCTTTGCTGAAAACTTTTAATTAACTTTTGCCTTTTCTTAGCTTTTCCTTTTAGGGTATTTTTCTTTTAGGTTGATATTCTTCTTTTATACCAAGAATATGAGACAAGGTAGTAGTCATCTGTTTTTTATACATATGCTTAAAAATATGCTTCAGGTAAGAGGTGCCAATGTGGGCTAACAAACATTAAGTAATTTCATAAATCTTGCAGAAGAGGTCTGTCCTTGGTTTCCTAAAAAGGGTACCTTAACTATAAAAACATGGCAAAAATTAAAAATAGAGTTACAAAATTATTATGATAAAAAAGAACCAATACAGGTTCCAATAGATACTTTTACCCTCTGGATCTTGATTCAAGATTCCTTAGACAAGTTGCTTGATGAGTGTGGATTTGTTTATGTTGGCCAACCTTCTGCTCCCCCAGACTGTAAACTAGATGATATTTCGTTTAACAATTTGCAAGACAATTATGCTGAGGACATTAGTTTGCCTTCAACAGCCCAGTCTGTGGACAAGCAGGAAATACCTTTCCAAGGCTCCTCTACTCCTTCTGTTCTTATTCTTGCAGGACTAGATCCCCCAGAGATAGGAGATAAACCTGTAACTGCCACGGTAAACAATTCCTCTGCTCCTTCTTGTCCTAAGTCTTTTCTGTCACCATTACAAAGGGTTGTGCAGAAAGTGGCTGCAGAGGGAGATGATATATCTGAATTCAGTCTTCCAGTTATGGAACAAGATGATGGACTGGGAAACGGAGTTTGACGCATATTCCTTTTCAATTTAAACGATTAAGAGAGTTAAAATCTGCTTGTACACAGTATGGGCCTACAGCTCCTTTTACTCAGGATTATGGAAATCAGAATTTGGAGAATTCTGTCAGGTTACTGCTGACCTTAATAGAGCTCAAAATATTCCTATTACTTTTGAAATGCTTGCAGGTGAAGGCCAATATAGGGAGACGGACCAACAAATAAACTTCCCTATTGCTGTCTATGCCCAAACTGGTGCTGCAGCGAAAAAGGCCTGGAACAAACTGCCAATGTCTGGCCAGCAGACTGAGGGCTTGGCTAAGATTAGACAAGGTCCAGAGGAGCTCTATCAAGATTTTGTGTCTAGACTTTCACAGGCTGCAGAAAGGCTTATCGGAGACAGTAGTGTAAGATCATTCATAATAAAACATTTGGCTTATGAAAATGCTAACTCCGCATGTCAAGCTGCACTTAGGCCACATAAAAAGAAAGGCAACATGTCTGATTATATTAGACTTTGTTCTGATATTGGGCCTTCCTATATACAGGGACTGGCTATACCTGCTGCTTTGCGGGGCAAATCTGTACAAGATATTGTATTTCAACAGCGAGGTAAAAAATGCTATAATTGTGGACAAAACGGTCACTTTCACAACAGTTGCCCTCGTGGCAATTCTAACTTCAGAGAGGGAAAAGCCCCTTCAATGTGCCCTTGCTATAACAAAGGTAAATATTGGCCTAGATAAGACGACATGAGATCTGCAGGACAAATTTCTTTCAGGATATAGAAAGAGGAGCCAATCTCCACCCTGATATTTGCTACTAATTGTGTTTTTATAACAAACTTCTAAATTACAGATTATTGTGTATCCCTTAAAATTTCTATAAGTTTAACATCATTGATCTCACTTCTTTTTTCCTTGGATACTCACTTTCAGTTTGTTTGTTTTTTTGTCAAGTTTTCTTTCCAATGTCCTTGGATGTTTATTCTCTGCTCACATGCTTATGTTTAAAGTTCAAAATACATCCACCAACTTGTGCAGTGTTGCTTAAAATATGTGTTTAGTCTGTTTTATATGTCTTGTATGTCTTACTGTTTGGATCCATTTAATATTGTGCGCACTTCTCAATTTAAATCCTTTAATTAGATGTACTGGTACCAGTTGCTATAATTTACAACACATTATAATTAAGTCATTTCTCTTACAATGGACTAAGCAAAGCTCTTTTCACTTTGTCTTTTAAAGTTTAAGTTTCTATAGCTGCCTGCTCTGAGTTTTTATGCTTTGTTTCATGTTACCTTAGTTACATAATTTGTTTCTACCTTCTTCTGGATGGACTACCTGTTTCTTGCATACAGGGGATAGTTCTACATCCAAACTCAGCTTGTTGATGGTTGCTTCAGAAACCTATTTACTTACAGGTCATTTTTCGAAGCTTCAAGAACATAACATCAGATGACAGATTTTACAACTTTAACCATCTTGTTTTTCGTTTCCTCTGTATTAGTAATCTTTGTTCAGTTTTGTCTCTTATTTCCTTTTACTTGTAGGTTCAAATCAGAAAAAACAATTTAAAAACCCTTAACGATTTTCAAAAATTATTGGGAGACATTGATTGGTTACGTCCATATCTAAAACTCACAAGTCATGATTTACGCCCCTTTTATCAGATCCTAGTAGGTGATTCTGATCCTACGTCACTGAGGGAACTTACTCTGGAGGCACAATATTGTGTTGTGTGTATGTCACCTTCCCTTGTGTACTCCCTATGTAATCAGTGGATTGTTAGGTTCCCTCTCTTTCCCAACTCCACTTTTTGTTTTGTGTTTAGTGGGGGGAATTAGGTCTGTGCAGCCTAAGCGTACCTAGAGACCTACATGGATGGATGTACCTACATGGATGGATGTATATAGAGAAGGACCTAAACATGGACCTAAATTTCAGTGTAAAATGTAAAATTCCAGTGGCACAACTTTGCAACAGTACTATGCATAAGCAATATTTCCCGTTTCTTCCCCCAAGGCCAATAGACGGGAGCTTAATGGAGGCTGGTTAGCCAGTGACGGGTAAGATCTTCTCAGAGTAAAGCGGGTTGCCGGCACCCACTACGGCTTTGCTCTGGTAGAGGACAACCTAAGACAGGCACAGTCTTTCCATCCCAGTCTTGGCGTTTTTCTAAATTTTAAAAATATAAAAAGAAAGGGGGAAATGTTGGGAGCCATGCTTGACATGAGCATAGGTAAAAAGAAGAGTGCCACTTTAAGAGCTTCTGAGCTCTCTGCTTCAGCAGTTTGAGCTGACAGGCTGTGCCTCCATGATAAATCAGGTCTTCTAGAAAGTTAGTTTCGGTTTGGTCTTTGGGCACTGGAGTCAGTGAGGTAATGCAGCAACCTGCTGCATCCGTAGTTACTTTCTGTTAGTAAAATATCCTTGGTGATTCCTTGGTTACCCCAAATCTGATTCCTATATAAGATCTGTGTTCCTCACAACAATAAGCCATTCTGTAAGAATTAAACTTTTTATAATAAAATCAAGACCTTTGTCTTGACTCTTCTTTTGTTGAAGACCCAAGCCTGGTGGGCTTGGGGAGGGCATTCGACAGAATCTAGAACTTTGGAGTTCAGCCAGGGACTTGTACTCGAGCTAATAGGTGAGTTAATTTGGCTTACCCCATACTACTAGAGCTCATTGCCCCCACAAAGACAAGACAACTTCCATAACATGTAGCACAAGTCAGTCCTTAAGTTCTCATAGGAGAATGTCCACAGCTAGACTAATATCTACTATAAGGAAGACTCTCTTTTACCAACTATAGAAGAACTATACCTGTGAAAATTATTATTTTTTTCTCACCAAAGAATAAAATGTAAAGTAGCTCTCATTCACAATTTACCGAGGATTGACCCACCCCACTCAAAAAAATAACTCATAGTAGAAATCACTTAGGAGATTCTTTACAATGACTATTAGACAAGTAGTCAGCACCCCTAACTTCTCCAAGCTCTATCCCTTTAATAAATTTCACCAGTACAGTTGGTGAAAGTCTTTAGAGTGTCAATTCAATGTTAGACCCTGAGCCTTTATTTAGAAAAAAAATTTATAAATATATCCAAAAGCATTGTTGGTATGAAAATCTATTCTCTCTTATATAATATCTGAGGAACAATCTCTTCCTAGAATTCAGGACCCAGGGAGAAAAAATGGTCCCAGCTGAAGAACCTCTGTGTTTGCCTTTCTTAGGGAAGAAACAAACCTACTCTACATGTTTCCTTTTATCTTGTTTGCCAAAAGTTCAAAGCTAAATT